GTATACGATGTATCAACTGTTACAAACTAGGTGATTACTTTATTCACCTGGCTAAGTACAGTACCAAGTCTTGTGTTGATTGCATCTACCTGGATGATGAATGTTTTACCAAAGTCTGGATTTTGTAGTACACGTTAGGTCGTCAACGCTAGCTTGTGTTCTTGTGCAGAATGCCTGTTCACATTGCGTAGTCCAATGTACTTTGTGGGTACTCTTTGTTAGGTCTGTCAAAAGGATCGCAATATCTGATATCTCGTGTATAAATCGCCTGTAATACCCTACAAAATCAATGAACCATCAAACATCACTTTTCTTAAAAGATTGTGGAAAGTCTACAACAGCTTATCTTACTTGGTTGAGGTTTTACGTTTCAACCCCAGCAATAAGGCCCAGAATTGCTATTTCAGGGAACGCAACTTTGCATTTACTGGGACGTATTGTCAATCTTACTTCTTTCACTTTAGCTAGTAGCTGTTTAAGATGCTTAGTATGACCAGGTCATATCAATGATGTTTGCATAATCTTGATCCTCTAGAATCATTTGCAGGCAAACAAAATTTGCCGGTGCTCTTGTCATACGGAACTGCATCCCACACAAACTATGTACGTGCATCTGTGTCCAATGGTATTTGCCAGTACCCTTTCGTTATGTTAATATTGGTGATGAATTGCGAAACCCATAATCATTTCGTCTGTACAAGGCATAGAAAAGTGGTCAAACTGAGTCAGTTTATTCAATTCTCTATATACACAGAATCTCCAAGTCCCATAATTTTTCTTGGCGAGTACAACTGGAGCAGCATATGGACTTTTAGATTTTTCTATTATTTCTGTGGCTTACATTATGTTTAGTTCCTTTTTAACGGTTTCTTTCAGGGATTCCGGAATTCTATATGGTCTTTGATATATAGGTCGTTCTTGTCTAGTGACCACTTTGTGTTCTATTAATGACGCTTTACCAGGCAGATCAGTAAAGAGATCACTATAATTCTCAGTATATTTACTTCTTGTTTTTGATATTATTCCTTAAACTGGTAAACTTTCTGTAAAGTTCTCGTCTTCTTTAGAATCATTTTCGTAGCATATTCATATAATACAGTTTCTTTTTGCATCTTTTGTTGCCTATCTCTACTTTACAGTTTACTAGAGACACTTTTCTGTTTGTTTGTTTTTGCTGTGCATTTGTGAGGTACTGCTCCTAACTTGTTACACTTTTTTTTCTTCAGGTGGTAGTTCACCTGTCCACGATTCTTCTCACAGTTCAAGTTCAGGCACTTCTCTATAGGCAAACAACAAGTAGAGAATACACCTGTCCCATGTTCAGAGTACCATTAAAATTCTCCACCTGACCATTTGCCATGGAATGGTCAGCTGATGTTTCCATCTTCTTAATATCAAGCAATTTACACAAGTCTTTCATTAAAATGTGATAGAAGTTTGTGCCTAATAATATCTCCTTCGGTATTCCAACGAAACAATGTCACCAGTTCATCAGCATTACATTCATCTTCTAAGGTATCTTGTTGCCTAATCGCATATGGTAAAAAAATGTATCGATTGCTAGTCAGACCTGGTGCCTATGCTAAAGTAAAGCTTTCCAAAAAAGCCTCTAAACATGTACTTATTTGTGTGCCCCTTTTATACCCCTCAATTCAAGTGCAGAAACTTAAAATAGATACCCTATATACATACTATATACTGCCCCATTTTGTCGAGTAATCCAGCCGAATAATATCGAACGCATTTGGAACCCGGAAGCACGTCCGACAGGAGAATAATCGGAAAAATCGTCAAACTTGCTATTCTCCGGAGATTTTGTCACGATTATTTTTTTTATTTTCTCTCGTTTTTTGTTTGTTTATTGCGGGGAAAAATGTGAGGCGACAGTGAGAAATACCCTTTTTTTCAGGTTGTACGTTGACTCCGAGACAAGTGAAAGTGGACCCTTTATTTATATTTTAAAATATTCGACCCTAAACACGGTACGCGTGAACAGCTGAATTGTTTAACTGGTTCCCGTCTCGAGTGTCACGGCGTACTAAGCCACAAGAAGCCGGTAACTAGTAACGGTTTCGGTATTCTGGTTAGTCCGTCACTTTCTCGTTGGTGTTCTGTTTCTCTTGGTTACCTGACGTCAGCGCTTACGCCCGTGACCCAGGACAGGGGTTTCCTTTTACTCTCGAAAGTTGGACGAATATAAAACTGTTTCTTTTGTTATAAATTTGCACAGAAACAGCGAGAAATGCCAGGAACATCTCAAATATGTAAGTCTAGGCAGGCAGATTGCATGGGTATGGCATAATAAAGACTTGTTTACAGAAAACGAATATTACAATGTTTTCAAATTACGTCACTTACGGAATCCCGGCCCAGTGGAACAATATGGCGATTACTAGTTACCTGCGTCCTACCATCCATTAGTACCTTCCATGGTCCTACTTCCAAGGGACGCCGGGAACCAGTGAACTGAATTGTCTGTTATACTGCCCTCATTTATATATGCGGTATGTAGCGTTGAAGGTGACCTATATATTGCAACATATTCAGTCCTCCCTATCGTTGAAGACATTTTTACTATAACCACGCCTGTATGTCAATCCCTTTGCCGTAGCTACCTCTCTCTTATCTCTTCGACCTAAGGTAAGTCAATATTAAACATAAATATCCTCTAAATGTATTTGCGATGGCTCGGTATGTTGTTTTTTCTCAGATGTGCGTAAGCAACAAAATTCACATCAGACAGAATAGTGTTTCTCTTGACAGTTCCAAATGCATGCAACCATTATCTTGTGTGCAAACAAAATTTTGAACTCTATTAACCGTTGAGTCTATAGTGAATATACCAGACATGTATGTAGGTCACTAATAGCCGACAACTGGGCAGTGCTTGAGGTCAATGCACAATTAAACAGTTCTGTATAACTATTTTTACACTAAGCGCATGGATATCATCGGTAGTACCAGTAGAATCAATAGCAACAGTGTAAATGTTGATCCTTAAAATTTCAGAACGCGTCAGCTTCTACAAAGGATGCGACTGCAACTACCAACCGGCATGAGTGTACAAAGTTCACGCTATTGTAACGCCGGTTGTAATACAATGTAATTTTTGATTATGTGAACCATTTTTTATCGGAAAAACAGCTTGATGCTTTGAGTGCGTTTTCAATGTGATATCGTTAATGTGGTATTGATGCCACAGATGATGAAATACTGCCAATTATTATTAATATTACATCACCACAATCAGAATTAGAGGTTGTTATTGCGTCATAACCTTATATTACCGTTCGATAATGTGAACTTCGCAAATTAATTCATTAATGACAAAATCCCGCAGATTCAACTAGAGTTGTTTTATTTCATGTTGGTGATTTCTATATATATATAGGAATTTCCCAAACCTTCATATAAAATTCGAAGAAGCGTCTAGAGGCGATAATTTGTTCACCTCACCCCACACATTAACTTACCATAAAACCAACTCCCCATTAAATATGACGCTGTGGGGTTCATTATTTGGAGATAATAAATGACAAGTGTGGGTATTTAGTAGCAGATATAAGATCTCTCTGGGACAAATTAGCATATTTGGCGGGAGATAATAACCTGATACTGGTAAACCATTTTATTTGATATGTCTTTCACCATTAAATCCTTTTATGACTACAATTATAAATAGCTGCATGTTGATCTCTAGCATTAATAACTAATTTACACTTCGTACGACAAGTCGTTGAATATTGAGTATAATAGTTTGATATGTAATAGGAAAATACATCAGCCAATAAGCCGATGAGCCCATCAACGGTTGTTATTAGTTGTTTGATAATTTTTTTTGGACAACTTTTTCTCCCGCCGGCTTTTGTGTTGGGTATTTCTCGGGAACCGTTGTCAGGAGTGATAATATTCTCTTATGGGATTTGTATAGGTCTATTTGAAGTTTTGCATTCTGGAGTGGGGGGTCATGCTTAAAGTAATTGTCTTACTTCGGAAAATATGCAGAACATGTAGAGTTTATAACTTTCTTACTAGTAGATGAAATATAC